CTCTGGGGCCTTATGGTCCCCTCCCCCCTCGACAGAACGAAGCTCCATCCCACCTCTTCCCTCCCGGGCCTGAATGGCGTCAGCCCTCCCCCCCTTCCCCTCCTCTCTCCTCCCCATGGCGTTCCCCCCTCCCCCTGTCTTCCCTCCAGGGCCTGAGTGGCGTCAGCCCCCCCTCCCCCGACAGAGCGACCCCCCCCCCCCCAGGCCTGAATGGCGTCAGCTCCCCCCCCCCCTCTTCCCTCCCGGGCCCTAATGGCGTCAGCCCCCCCCGCCCCTCGACAGAGCGAAGCCTCCTCCCCCCCTCCTCCCCCCCGGGCCTGAATGGCGTCAGCCCCCGCCCCCCAATCTTCTTTCCAGGGAATGATTGGCAGGGTGGGCCCCGCAATGTGCATTTTTTTTGTTGGCAGGGATGGGGGGGGGGGCGCATGGTTCCGGGTTGGCGGCCGGCCAGGTGGGGGAGGGGGTGTGTATGAACAGGGGGCAGTGATAAACTTTCCCCACGAGGCAGGAGGGGGCTGGAAGAGGAAGCGCCCTAGACCACCTACGCCCAGAGGGCTGCTGGGATGTTTCATTTGTTGCTCGAGAGTGGAGCCCTCGTTTCGTCAACACCTCCGGATGGCTTCAGGGCAACCCCAGGAGGTTTCCGCAAAGGTCCTTGCAAAGGCGCCGCAAACGATCTGGAAGGGGCGCCAATCAATTCAAGGGCGCCATAAGAGGTATTCGGACGTCACAACAGAACCCCGAGACGGCCCAGGATGACGCCAAGACGGCCCAAAGAAGTCCCCAAATAGTTGAGTTGAAGACGGTCGAATGCTTTGTGAGGGGTATTGGCAAAACATTGTCAGGCGGGATTTCTGGATAAGGGAATCTCGGGCCTCTGATGTTTGCAATGAGTCGTTTGACGCTTCGCGTATCTCCACCAGCCAGTTCAGTATCCTTGCACATGAGAGTTGAAGGGGAAAAGGACGAAAAGACACACATTGTGAAACAAAGCAGGCAACCAGGATGAACATATAGATCTTTGGGAGCAGGGGTTGGCGCCTTGGCGGGCCTCTTCGAGCCATTCCTGGGGACCGCGGTGGGGCGAGGAGAGGAGGAGGAGAAGGATGCTAATCGCCTCATGGGGCCCTGGAGGGACGCTGTTGGGGCGCTGTTGGGCTCTCCAGGGATCGTTTGGGGGCCATCTTGAGGTCATATTGAGGCTGTCGTGGGTGCCTCTTGGGAGCCTTGAGGGGCGTCTCCATAACCTCTTGGAGGTTATCGATCAAAGGAGCCGGGCCCTCGATTTGCCTCCTCCCATTCGACCATCAAAGTCGCTTCTTAGGCCTCTTTGGGCTCTGGTGGGCCATCTTGGGGCAATCCTGAGGCCTCACAAGCGCATCGGAAGCGAAACGGCGAGAAGGCAGAAACTATTGATTGGCCTTAGCTTGTTGATGGGTTTTGTCCTCGTATGGGGCCCTGATGGGGGCTCCGTGAGCATGTGGAACCGTGTTGTGGCCCTTGTCGGGCCTCTTGGAGGTATGATGTCGGAAGCTACCTTGAACCATCTTCAGTTATCTTGAGCCGCCGCGGAGGCCATCTTGGAGCATCGGACGCCCTCTTGGAGCCATCTTCGGCGACTTTGGACGCTCGGACCCCTCGTGCCCCCCCCCCACACACACACACACACACACACACACACACACACACACACACACACACACACACACACACACACACACACACACCACACACACACACACACACACACACACGCACGCACGCACACACACACACACACGAACCACTCTGAGGGGAGAGGGGTTACTCCTCCCCGAAGGGATGAGGGTTTTGGAAGAGGACAGAGCAATATCGTTAAACCACGTGCGCCCAGGGGTCCGGTGGGACTCCCCCATGGCGAGGAAGCTAACATGACGAATGCATGTTGCACAATAAAACCAGCCACTGAACATCATGGTAACATGATTGTTGTTGTCGTTATCCTCGCCCACTACCCACCCGCCACCCACCCACGGTGCTTTGAGGAAGAACAGCTCCTCTGGCTGGCTCGTTGTGCCTGCGGCGGGCTTTTTGAACTATTACTCCGAGCCTCGCAGACTGGCAACGCCCCCCCCCCGCCTCACTTTTATTCACCACCCACCAAACCACCCCAACCCAACCCGAAGGCCCAAATTTATCCTCGATTTCCAGTGGGGGGGGGGGGTCGGGGAACATTGAAAAAACACATGGAATCCGTACCCCCCCCCCCCAACCCGAAATTCGGGTCAAATTCGGGTCTTCGGGTTGGGTTGGGGTGGTCTGGTAGGTAGTCATTTATCCGCAACTGCAGGGGGCGGGCCTCCGAGAAGCTCCATGGGCAGTCCGAGCCGCACCCTGGAGCCCCCCCCCCCCCTGCCATCGGGACCCCGTGCTGTGAGGCACACGGGCTCCAGGCGTCCGCGCACTCCAAGGGCCCCCCCCCGGCTGACACTCCCCCGCGCCAGCCGCGGCGCCGTGCGGCAGCTGGTCGACGATTGGCTGGAGCAGACGCAACGTCGTGCGCGACCCGTGAAGCATTTGGAGGATTCCTGATGACGCCAACCACCCAGATCTGCGACAATCTTCGGCAGCGAATCATAGGAGCCTGGTATACCCTCGCAGTTGTGCTTTCAGAGCGCACTGATGCCGATCAGCGTCTGATAGTCGATGGGATAGCGCGGATCTAGCGTCGATGAGCTTCGATCCGCGTCGATTTAGCGTCGATTAGCGTCGATTCGCAAGAGCCAGCAAGATGGTATGGCAGGCTCCCGAGTGTTCTTCCTCGATTTCGGCCTCGAGGGGCAGTTCATGGGCACAGGGACCATCAAAAATGGAGCGAATAGTTGGCCTTGGGCACAGGGTCGGGACTTTTGGGGCAGCGGATAGGGACAGATCAGATCGTCCGATATTCCTACCTGAGGGTGCCTGTGGGTTCCTAGGGAGTCCCCAGGATTCCTGAGGATTCCCAGGGATTCCTTGGGATATGAGTCTACACCGCGCCTGTCCTGGCCAGGCACATCTTGGGCCCAGTACTGGCGTGTGTATGTGTGTGCGTGCCCCGCCCAATCGCGAGATCGACCGACCCCCCCGTGGAGGAGCTGGGGTCGCGAAAGCGGCCCCCGGTTGTGGGGAGGTTAGGAAAAAGGCCGCGCAGCACCCAGTCGAAGAAGGAAGGAGGCCGACGCGACCAAGTGCGGCGGCGGCAAGGGCGGCAGCGTGCCGGCGACGTGTGCAAGCTGGCGGGCACAAGCCCGGGGCTTCCGTGCCCTGGTCTGCAGTTGCCAGAAGTGCCCCTGGCCCAAAGGTGCCCCCGGGGGTTCCGAGGAGGCCCTCACGGCCTCCAGAGCAACCCTCACGAGGCCCAGAGGTCCCCAGAGGCTCCAAAAGTGAGGGAAAAGCTGGGGCCACCTGGGGCCAGCGGCACCTTGAGAAAAGCCTGACGTGGTGCCCGCGTAGCAATGCCTTTATAGTAATTCGCCGGCAACTGCCTGGGTTGGCCCTGCCCTGTCAATTTCAGCCACGCTGGCGAGGGGTCGAACGCCCAGGGGCGATGCGCGACTGATTGCGACGAGTTGCGGTGGGCATTTCGTCGACGACGGCGGAGAGGAGGAGGGTGGCAGCCATGTGCCAGGGCTTCGTTGCGGGAGCGTCCTCTGCCAGCAGTGTCCGCCCACTCTGCTCGATGCGTGCTCGGGTGCGTTGCGCTTCTTCTCTGAGTGAAGAACCGATCCGCGCGTGAAGCGGGGCGAGGCGATTTGCTACGGCGACCGCCCAGCGTTGCGGACCTGGAGGGGGGGCGCGGCTTCTCCTTCGAGGCCGCCACGCCGCAAGCCGTGGGGGGGCCGCGGCCGCAGGGGAGGGGCCTCTCTGGGCGGATCCTGACGTGCTCGCCTGGCTTCGTCTCCATCGGCCAAGGAGGAACAACTGCATAAGCATGAACTGTCGGAGCTCCGCGAGGATTTCTTGGATCGGCGCTGGAGACCCCTGGCGTCGCCTCCGGCACCGCCCCTGGCGCGCTCCACTCGCCGCCGGAAATTTGTCTGGGGTATCCTTCTCTTTGTTCCTCCAATCGGGAAGGCTCCGCAGTCTTGGCGAGGGGTCTGGCCGCATGCGAACAGGTTGAATGCGAACAGGTTGAACCTTGCCAAGGCTGGCGCCAGCTCGATGGTCCTCCTGCGGCCGGAGCTGCGGCCTGGAAATTGCCTTCGCCCCGGCGTCACGATAAGGCAGCGCAGCCGCCCGTTGAGTTGTTCCCTTCCTGTTGGTTTGGGCGTCTGGATGGTCTCGCAGTCTATTCCAATGTAGAGTTGGGTCCAGAGCGTGGGGGGACCAGTCTGGAATGCTTTCTAGGTTGGTGGTCATGATATTGGAGGCTTGGAGGCCACGACCACCAGCCCATGTCTCGGAGGGCATCAGCTTGGCGTTGTGGTGGACGGTCTTGACCTGGCTCGCGACTCCTGTTGGGGGTCACGAGAGCTTGAGCAGGAGCTGCAGCAGCAGCACTTGTTCTGCCGTCGATGCCCGCTGCGCTTGCATGAGTGGTCTTATCGAATGCGTCTTGCCGCACGCTCTTATCCAGAATACCGAACTGCCCCATGGGTGCGGACACGTCGCTGACATGCAGGTGACTGCCACATTCTTCGGGGCACTGGCCTGCGGCAGGGGGAAGCACGAGCCTGGCGCCATGCACAAGTGGCGACGGGAGGAAGCGCGCAGGGCGTGGTTCCCCCGACATGCGCCTGTCACGTCTGCCCCCCAGATGCTGCCACCTGCAACAGCACCGTCATCGCCATCGTCGTCATCACGTCGTCATCAGCACGTTGCAGTTGCATTGTGGCCCACTCCTCTTGTTGCTTGATTCCACGCTTAGCGGCACGCCTGATGAGTGGTCAGGCCTCTCGACGCGTTCAAGCCGTGTTTGCTCAACACCCCTCGCGCTTCTTGCGGAAGCCGAACACTCTTAGTCTTTCTTTGCCTTTGTGATGGCAGCCCTTGCCGCTTCCTGCGAAGGCGGGTGGGGCTGTGGGAAGGTGAGGGCGGTTGAAGGAGGGAAAAGTTGGAGTGAGAAGGCTGGGCAGAGGGTACGTAGGCGACAGGTTTTCCGACCCATGCCTGGATAAGCATTCGTATCGTTTCTCTTGCATCGACCCTAACTCTCCGCGGTGCTGTTGCTGTCGTGAGTGCTTGCTACCCTCTTGCCCATTCTAAGATCGTGTTTCTTCCATGAGCAATGTAAGCATTTGGTCCAACGCGCACAGGCTCAACCACGTTCACTGGTGTCTGTTTCCCCGGGGTGTTCACGTTGGCTCCTCGTTTCTTCACTTCTCGCTGGTCAATCTTGGTCTCTCACACCTCTCAGGCGGCAGCGACTGATACGGGCACATCGACACGCTGTCTTATACATGCGTCAGGGTTGAAGGGGTGAGACGGCCGAGCATGGAAGTGCGCACTGCGTATTTGTAAGCTGCGCCATTCTGCCCTCCTGAACAGCAGCATCAGTTCTCAAGTTTTCTGACTTGACGGCCCAAGCCGTTTCCGGCTCGAGCCATCTTGGGTCGACGTGTGAAGTCGAGCCCGCAGCGACGAGTCCTGGGATAGGCTTTTCGTGGAGGCCATGCTGCCTGCCCTGGTCATCGCCCTGCTGCTCTGCGGCCCTGCATCGGGCAATCCATCATGGCTGGCGGGTGGCGCCGACGCCCAGGACGGCGGCATCGAGGACCAGTGCAAAAGCGCGTCCTACGCGTTCTGCTGCGAGACCGGGACCCCGTGCGATTGCAGCAGAGGGACCACGTCGCCGGGACAATGCCAGCAGGCGTCCTACGCGTTCTGCTGCAGCGTGGGCACGCCGTGTGATTGCGCTCAGCCGCCGCAGGAGTTCCTGGTGTGAGTAGCGCGTGGGTTACCACAAGCCTTTCTTCGGTGCTGGGCGCTCCCTCTCTCCCTCTCGTTTCTCTCTCTCTCTCTCTAGCTCTCTCTCTCTCTCTCTCTCTCCAGCTCTCTCAAGCTATCTTTCTCTCTCTCTCTCTTTCTCCCTTCCCAGCTTTCCTTCCATCTGTATCCATCTCTCACTCTGGAGGGGATTTCAAGGGGGCCTGGTGCGGAGGGTGGTGCCCCAATCCCCTCCGCTGGCCCCTTTTCCATCGTTTGGCAAAAGGGTCGAACGGATTGGGCCAGCCCAACCCCCTTCTGTTCCAACCCTTTGTGAGCTCTCCATTGCTTTCAGCCGCCATGGCAAGCAAGACTGAGTCAAGCTGTAGTACGGTCCACGGGACTCTATCGGAACGTAGTTGTTCTTTGCCACGCGCGGCCAAGTGATATCATTTGACGTACCAATTGTGCGCTTGCAGCGATGGCGGCCGCGCATATCGACAGTCGGTGTGCGTACACCGCCATCCGCCAGAAACGTGGCAGCCTCTTCCACTCCTTCCAGCGGCGCAGCGGGCTAGTGTCGGCATTGTCCCACCGCGAGGTTCTTTGCGTCGTTCTACAGCCGTTTGCTCCCACACTTATTGTTCCTCCTCTGCCCCTTCGCTCATCCATCCCCCGCCCTCCCTCTACATCTTCCCTCCTACCCCTCACCGATATCATGTGGGATTTAGGGAGGCGTATACATGTACGTTATATTTACAGAGAGAGAGAGAAGCAAAACAATGGAGGGGTGAGGCGGCATACCCAGCGGAGCGCTGCGGCCTTCTATGCCGAGCTTGTTGCTGCCAGGCGCCGGCGTCGCGCGCGCCTTCTTCAATCTTGTCGACAGAACGGCGCAGGTGCAGGACGAGTGAGACTGACGACGCTCTTCCCTCGGGTAACCACTCATGGGAGCCCTAGATGTCCTCGATATCTCACATTCAGGGTGCCTCAGCGTGTGCTAACGTCTTGTAATCGTTGAGAAACGCTGGTTTAGCATTGATGCGCGTCGATTTGGCGTCCGTTCGCGCCGATTTGCAAGAGCCAGCAGGATGGTATGGGAGGCTCCCATGAGTTGCCGCAGAATTTTCCCAAACCTGACACTCAGTTCGTGTTTAGTCAGGCTGCGGTGCGGTAGGTTCATGTCGTTTCGACCAGCGGCAAACCCGTTGCTGGCGTTTGTCAATGCTGAACGTTTGAACGTCGCCGTCGACCCATAATCGGTTGATGTGGAACGGTCGAACGTTTCGGAAACGGCAGATTGTTCAAGGTTGAAAGATCCAAAGGTTGTCAGAAACCAACGCCAGGGATGGCACGACACGAAGCTGCCGTAACTCAGCCCCTTGTACCAAGTGTTTCCCCCCCGCCAGGCCCCAGCCGAGACGCGCGTGGGGGTGCTTGGCGGGCAATGTGGATGATTTGTTTGCCAGGCCAATGCACATGCGGGATGCCTGCATGCAAACACGTAGGTGCATGTAGAGCCCGAATCATCAGGGCTGGGGATGGTCAGGGGTAGCTCCTATTTCGTGCCTTGGAGGCCTAAGCAGTAGTTGCCACGGACCGCAGTTATCCCGGCTATTTTGGGCGTCCAACCATTCTCGAATAGTCGGTGTTGAGAGTGGTCAGGGTACTCCTGGTTCGTGAGTGAGGGGCCCAGACGGAATGACCGATGGTTGGATCTGTTCCAGATAATTCTGGCGTCCAATACATGAGTGCGTTATTTATTACAGAGTGATCTCTCCAAACGTGTTTGAATCTAGGGGGTCTCAATTACGTGTTCTGTATTGAGTTGGCCCCAGTTTCCGACGATGTGTGGCGTAAGGGTACCATCTGGGCTCAGTATTGGTTTGGCAATATCCAGGGCTTCCAGCGGTGGCCGTTGGTGCGCGGTGGTGCCACGGCGGCATGGCCTTGCGCTGGTTTATTCCGACCTGGCCCAACGATTGTGTCCCAGAAAATACGGTCACCGAGAGGCTCCCGCACCGTTAGGGTCCTACACCGGTGGGGTCCCACACCATAGGGTTACACATGTTAGGGATAGTCGAGACGGTCACCCACATGGCAGAGTCCCACTCAATATGCTCGGACATCGGTCCCAAATAGTTCAGTGCCTATCACGATTGGGCCCCACACCAGATTGAGTCCCTCCCGACGGGAGCACAGGCGATACGATCTACCCGATAGGGTATCATCCGACATGTTCTTACCTTGTAGGGTCCCACACCGAAGGTCTTGCATGAGAGGGTCCCACCTGAAATGGACTCACTCGACAGGGTCACGCCCGATTGTGCCTGACACGATTGGGTCCCACCTGTTGGGCTCCCACAGTCAGGGCCGCACCTTATATGGACTCCCTTCTGAATTCTTAGGATGAACTATTCGAGCAATGCCGAGGCGGGACTTCGCCGTTGACTTGTGCATTTTGGTTGGTCATATGTATGTTACATGATCGCTTAGTGTAAGTATCAAGCGGTGCGGTCTCGGCCCGACGTTTTATCGTCCTCTGTTCATCCCTGGCGGGTGATCCTATGCGGGTCAATCGTCTTTGCGGGCCGTGTGCGCACACATCCCAGTCTCTTTCAGAGCCATCGGCGTTCAATGATTGTCATACACGATCTCTTAAACAAGCCCATGTTTTTCCCACGAGGTCATTACGTACCAGATTTCGTTGCGTTCGTTATCTGGATGCATCAGACATGCCCCCAGGAAGCCGAAGATGGTCCGCAGACAGCCCCCCGAACCGCCCAAGACGGCCCAAGAGGCATCCAAGATGCTCCCAGAAGGCCCCCAAGAAATCCCAAGAGGTTCCCAGGAATCCCCAAGAGGCCCCCAAGAGCCCCCTCCCCAGACGCCCTGAAGTACTCGTACCGCTCCCAAAGCTTCCGGACAACTCTTGGCTTCCTGAGGCCCGTCACGGGCCCCGGGACCGTCAAACATTTACGACGAAGTTCCGGGTCGGTGGAAGTTGTCGGGACCTCGGGGACACTTCAGGAACCCCGCATTGAACGAGTCACTACGTGGACGTCGTCGTCGGCGTCGGCGTCGTCATCGTCGTGGTGGTGGCGGTCGTCGTCGTCGTCGTGATCGTCGTCGTCGTCATCGTCATCGTCGCCTTCGTCGTCACTCGTCGCCGCGGCCGTCGTCTTCGTCGTCGTCGATAATCGCATGAGCGAAAACGAGAGCAGCACGACGTGGCGCAGCCGTGACTAGAACCTAAGCGCGCGCGAAGCGCGCGTGGTTCTAGTATATATCTATATTTATATATACATCTATAGATATATCGTATATCGCTTTAGCCTTTCGTAGAGGACGCCGTAGCGACCACAGATACAGCGCGCGCATGTATCAAACCTACCCTCGTGTATTTCAGTGATTTGGGCACATTGAGTCCACCCCCACGGGCTTCAAGATGGCCCAAGAGGCCCCACAGGAACATGTCAGGACGGTCCCTTGGGGATACGGACAGTTGCTGGGCCTCGTTGGATTTTTTTATTGGAACGATCTGGGGGGACGTTGGCATCGGTTTGGGCGCGTTTGGCTTCCGGATGGTCCTGTGCGAAACGCATTGTCTTTGTACCATGCACGTCTATATGAATCCTGGGTCACCCCAGTACGAAATGAAGGCACGGTGGCGGATTCCCACATCCCACAGTACAGCAGCAAATGTATCATTGTGGTGTTTGTTGGTGAAACCTCTATTTGTTCGACGGATACGCCACCACACGGTGATGCTGCCGCTTTGGCGACGTCTATCTTTGTCGTTGCGAGGTTCAGTTGGCACTCTCCAGCTCGGGCGTAGGGCGTATTAATCTTACGCGTGCTACGTGGATAGCTAGTGCGAGTTCAAGCCGCACGTTCTTCCCCACAAGTTGTGTTGCGCTACCAACTTGCTAGTTCACAGCCACTATTGCATCACGGTGGGGTGCCGAACGTGTTGTCTTGTTGCATGCTCCCTTTCTCCGGGTTACGCTATCCAGTTTCTGCTCTTCTATGTTGTTATTGTTTGGCTACTCATCGTCGTTGTGCGCTTCCATTTACCAACGCATACCCGGTGTATCCTTTATATGTGCTGGAGGCGTTGAAGTGATACCCGCGCCCCTTGGTGTAAATCATGTGGTGCTCACATAAGTGATATGACATGACTGTCTCACGTGTTACCCGGCGATCAATTACCTCCAGCTGTGTGGTTTCCACGTTTTGATCAAATTCCGTTGTGCAGTGATATCCGTGTGTGTGTGTATGTTGTGTTTCTCGTGGTTGTTGGTATGTTATACGCTGCGTCCGGTCCCAATATCCAATGCTGTAGCAGATGAGAAGTATTGGGACTTCCTGGGTGCCTGTCGAGGACAGATTGAAGCCTCTGGGGTCGTTGGCGTTGAGCCGTCTTGGGATGGCCTTGGGGATCTTGCTGGCATGATGGGGCGGCGTCAGGCCGTCCTCGAGCCCTCTGAAGGCCAAGGTGAACGCCAGAGAGCAAGACTCAGGTATAGGGACCTCTGCAGGGCGTGTGCGAGTGAGCGAAGCAAGGCGACTGGACATCACAAGATAGATATCGTGCATCGTGCCAGGTCACTCCGAAGGGAGCGAAGTCGCGCGTCGCGGCCTGAGCAGGATATCTGCTCTTGTCCATGGGGGGGGCGCGGGGCCGCGAAGGTATCTGCGGGTCGCATCGCGGGGCGTGATTTGCGAAGCCAGGTGACCTGACTTCAACACGCCCCAGCTTGCCGAGGGCACGGCTGCGGAACTGGAACTACACGTCGCGCGCGGCACATCCGTATTCGGGTACGGTTGGTTCGTGTCGTTCCGATTCGGCGGCGACCCCGCCGGGAGCGTTCATGGTTTGAAACGCCCCCAGTGGCCTAGAATCGACCAATATGAGATGATCAGGCGATCGAAACATTGCCGATCGTTCTTTCAAGGTTGCAGGATCCACGCGGTATCAGAAACCAATGTTAGGGTCGCCACGAGACGAGTTTGCCGTATCGTGCGCATCCCGTGATTTGGTGAGGTGAGGTTCGTCTGGGGTTTGGAATTTGGGTGGCATGCGGACTGCTCGTTCCCCGGCCGCGCCCCGCTTACAGTGCCTCGCCAGGAGAGCCTTCACAGGCGGATGCCCGATGCCCAGATCGCAGTTTTGGAAAGCAGCTGAGAGTAAAACGTACCGGAGAGGCCCCGTGTCCGGGAAGCTTGTCCTGGGGTACGGCGCCAAAGTTTTGAGATGATTCTGCCTCGTGCAGCCGCAGTGCGGGTTGAGAAGATAGGGCATGCAGGTGTTCCAGTCAGCAGCATTGCGCCTTGCCTCCATGCGCGCAGGCAAAGACACCACGCCTTCGTCGACGGACGACTCGACCTCCACGTCAAGAGACGGGTGGCTGCGAGATGTTCGAAAAGGGAAGGCAGGAGAACCGCCAGCGGCAACGATTGGGGCAGTTTGGGTTCTTGAGGCAAGCGTTTCCGCACAGCTTGGAAATCCGATGCCTTCCCAAGAGTAGATAATGGTTTGCGGGGCTTGAACAGTGATCACTAGCTCTCCCTTCGACCCACAGTCGAAGGTCTCTGCCTCTCTTCCAAAAGCGTGGGCGAGCAAATTGATTGTGCATATGATTTGTATGTATTGGTTTGTGGAAGAGTAGAACCTCCCAGCCAGGGGAGTCCCGCAGGGCTGCCAGGATGCTTAGAATTGTTTTGAGAAGGTGACATCCGAAGCACGAGCAATCTGCGATTCCAAGTCTTTCTTTCGAGGAGCGACCTCGGTTGTGGCGTCCCCCAAGAAGCAAGTTTTCAAAAGTGAAGCCGTTCGTCAGCACACCCATCAGCAGAGTGTGTGAGGAAAGGGGCAAGGGAGTGGTTGCCTCGGCGGGCCCTCTGGGCACTTTGCGTTGTGTCGTCGTCCCCGCGTGCCGTGTGCGTGTTCTCCGGTGGCTTGAGGAGTGGGAGTGAGGGGCCCGGCGCAGCAACGAATGGGAGCGAGTTCGTCAGAGGACCTTTTGTTCGCACCGCCGACCGTGGGTGGTCTGCCCTCCGTCGACTTGATCGTCGCCGCGATTGCCTGAGCGCACCTCGTGACCCGGGCCTTCGGGCCGGTGTTGGCGGTCACATTTCCTGGGGGCGTCCTTCAGGGGGATGATAACCAGGTGTGTGAGTGTGTGTGTGTGTGGATATTTTGACCAGGGTCATGGGAACTCGCCAGATCGCATGGCCCCTCTTCTTCTTTCATTGCGCCCCCCTGGTCCCCCCCTCGTCCCCAGATGCCTCGGGCCATGGTGTGCGAGCCCGTCTCTTGAGCGCCCCCCGCTCTTGGACGCCCGCGACCTTCGCACCCTCTGCTCGCCCTTTTGGCCGCCGCCGCCCGAGGAGGTGGGGGTTAAGGACGAGGGTGGAGAGCGGAGCGGAGGGAGGAGCGGGGGCATAGCTGTGGAGGAGGAGGAGGAGGACGAGGCGGAAGAGGAGGAGAAAGCTGTGGAAGCTGTGCGAATGCGGCAACAGAACTCGCTCCCCGAAGGGTGCGACGGACAGAGACAAGGGCACATCTCCTGGTCCACTCGCGGCCACCTTCTTTGAGGTGGTGTGTCGTTCCGGTGGTGCTGTGGGGGTAGTTAATTGATTCCCGTCTCTGGAGACGACAGAGGTCCTGATGCTGCGGACCCCGTCTAGCCGACCTTGATACTGCGGGCCAGCTACGCAGAACCACGAGGGCAACCGAGTGCCACACCCGAAGCGGTGGGAGAGGGAGTTGAGCACTCCACCACGGCCAAAAAGGGGCCGCCTTCTTGTCCCCGTCGATTTCGGCAGAGCTACCTGAACAGTATGCGCTTCACATTAGGTGGCGCTGGTACCAGACTGGGAGGAAGAGGAGGAGAAGGAACGCAAGAGCGACGCAAGAAAGGGCTCGTCTTCACCGACAATGTCGCGCAAGCTGCCCGCGTCAGGTCGCGCGTACTCGCCCTCGCTTCGAATGTAGGGTGCCGTGCTGGCGGGCGGCCCGCGTAAGCCACCGCGTGAGGTCGCTATGCCATCTCGCGTAAGACTCGTTCATTTCCGCCGCTCGCATGGATAGCAGGGCGGCATGGGGAGGGGAGGGAGAAGGCGGATTGATGCATCAAGCGCGGGAGGGCGTGAAGGATGCAGCCGATGCTTCGGTTCAGGACGCAAAGGCAGGCTTACCACAAGAGTGACCATTCGCCAGAGGGACCTTTTGTCCTGGCCCGACCAGGGTCGCGGATTGTTTCTTTGGGATTGCGCTCGGTCTTGCTTCGGCGCGCGTACCGTGGGGTTGCGCGCGCATTTCAGCGCACCCGGGTCGGGGGACTTTTCGCGATCGACCGCAATGTCGACGCAGCGCGTCCTACTGCGCGCGTTGGTTTCCGGATGGTTGGTCTGCCCCAGGAGCGGTCCCAAATCGGCAGCCGCAATTCATTTCCGTGAGTTTCGGGTCAGAATTGCTTAGAAGGCCCGAGGTTTTCCGATCGTTCTGAGAAGGCATGCCCTCTCTCACTTCTCCACCAGGCTCGCCGCCAACTAGTAGCACCCGCGGGAACCCCAAGGGGGGCCTAGAGATAGCCACGACGCCAGTCTTGGGCCACACATCATCTCGATGCGGCCCGGCGGCGCCCGCATACCACCCGCCCGCCTGTGCGTGTGCCGCGTTTGCCCTTGCAGGCGGCAGGCCATTGCGCGGCCCACTCGCCCGCCCGCGCCAGGGTTGGCCAGTTCGCTCACCTGCGATGGGGCCCTGCTGAAGATCCTCAGGACGTGTGTTTGCTCAAGCGTGTGCTTACCCCGTTCGGCGCGCAGCTTGTGCCGGCCCTTGTTGCGGCGCTTGCGTCGTAGTGAAAGGCCTCGGTGGACAACCACACGTTGGCGCTAACATACAAGTCCGTCGCCCGCCTTTGCCATGCGATCCGCTTGCTCTTGTCAGAGTGTCCGCCCGCCGGAGTCCGCCTGCCCGCCCGCGTTGACTTTTCGCGCGCCCGCCGGGTCGGTCAGTTGCCCCGGTCTGCGAGGCCGCTCGGTCTGTCAGTTGCCTGATCAGCGACATGAGCCTTTGCGAAACGAGACTCTGGCCAGATAGGCGTGGGCCTTGGAGAGATACAGAGGACAGCGAATGTCTGCCCCCAAAGCTTCGCTACATTCACCTCTCTTACCCCAACTTCTTTCCCTGCTCCTCCCTCGTGAGATCAGCTACCATCGCCAGCGTTTCTCCTGTCTCCCCTGCCTTCTCTCCCCGGCCCCCCTCGCCCTGCGTGCTATCAGCGGCACCGGACGTCCCAGCGGCACCAGACGTTCTGGATGGCAGCCGGTCCCCAGAAGGCCGACTGGCCCAACAGGAGTCAGATCGTCGCCCGCCCCGACCCGACCCGACCCCCCCACCCCGCGCCGCCGCTCGCCGTCCCGCTGCCCTCGGGCCGCGGCTCCCAGGTGGACCTCCACGGACTGCGCGTCGCCGCGCAGCGAGGCCAACAGCGGCCCCTCCCCCGGCTGGAAGTCGCCGGAGTGGACGCCGAGAGGCCGCTACCACCCGATGGAAGAAGCACAGGGGCCATGCTTCAGATGTCGCGGGTTCTTGTGGATACCGATCTTGGTCATGGTCCACGTCGGCCGTCGCCGGTTCGCGAAGATGATCCACGAATGGACGTTGACTAAGATCGACGGTGACCAAGATCGGCACGATGTCTTCGCACTCAGTTTTGGTCATGGTACCCGCTTTCTTCTCCTCCAAGCACTCGCCTTGACGACCGTGATGCTGCAGCTCCTGCAGCTGTTGTCCGTGCCCCTGCTGCTGCTTCTGCTCCTGAAGATGTAGATGCTGCTTCGGCAGCAAAATCCGAGGCCTACCCCTGCCGATCAACCATTCAGGCAACTCGATGGGCGGCGAGGTTAGAGCTCGGAATTCGTCGAACGACTTCTCGAAACCCGAACCCTACCCCCGCCTCCCATTGATTCAAGGGAGTCGATGGTTGGTGGGGCCAGGGTTCGCATGTCTCCCGCCTAGCTTCTGCTGCTCCTTACCAGCCTGAAACACATTCCCATCCCTATGATTGGCATCACCTTATCTCGATGCCGATCTCAATGGTTCCCTCAGTATATGAGGGCACCTCCTCCCTAAGATTGCCATCGCCTTTGGACTTGTCAACATCAGGGATAGAGATACTATCGAGGCTGTTTCGTAGTGCCCCTGCTGCCGCCGCTCCTGACGATGGGCGTGCCCTGTGAAGTGCTCGAAAGGGTGAAAAGCGTGTTCGTTTTCGGATGTTCGTAAATTGCCCATCAACATTTCAGAACCATCTGTCCGCGAACTCCATGGCCCCAATGGCCTTGTCCACGGCCGCTCGGTTGAGGGGGAGCAGAGATGTTCAAAGCGAACGGTTCGCAAAGGGTTCGGGAAGGAATGCTCGCGAACGATGTTTAGGCCAGCCCTGGTCAGTTTGGCCATGCTGCTTCTGCTGCTGCTGCTGCCTCCGCCGCCGTTGCTGCCCGTGCCGCTGCCGCCGCAGCCCGTCGCCGCTCCTGTCGCCTCCTGCCCCTGCTGCCCGCCCACGACATCTCCATCCGTCCAGGACTCACCGCGAACTCCTCCGACTCCATTCGCGTCGATGTCGACGGGTTCCGCACATGCGTCCCGCGCCACGCAGTACAGCGTTTCGTGGCCTCGTGGGGATCCCCACCGAAGGCTTCAGTTGCGGTGTTCGCATGCGCCTCCCCTACCAAGTGCAGCGTTTCGTGGCCCATTGGGGCTCCATCGCAGGCCCCAGTGGTGGTGTTCGGATGCGCCTCCCCCTCCTGCCGCCACCCCAGAGTAGCGATTTGCCGGCAGAAATTGCACTGCGACGTCCGATCCGATCCGATGCGTGTATACCGTTTTGTACTTTGGAAGGTGAGGGTTGCCTCGGTAGCGAGTTGCGGCGCGGTGCCTCCCATCCCGCGCCGCCCGTGGAGGCCCGGAGTCGCTGCCCGAGCCGTGCGCGGCAACGGTGGACGCGGGCGGGTACTGCCCGTACTCCCCGCAGCACGAGAGCCCGTGGGGCTCGGCGAGCTATGCCGCGGGGCCGAGCGCCGGTCCGTGCGAGGTTATGCTTTCCTCCTCTGGCGCGTAACGATCTTTGCCCAGACCAAACCTCCCCCTCGGGGTAACGGTAACGATCGTACGCAGGGGGTGGTTTGGACCCTCCCCAGAATTTTGGTGCTCGCGCGCATGGTGTGGCGATCGCAGCGCACCCCCGCCCTAGCGCTATCGTTACTCAGGTCCGCCCCCCTCCCCCTCGCGGGCCTTCGCGGGGTATCGACTGTTACCGGAAGAATCTAAAAGAATCTCAGCACCCCGCGCGCCAGCGACGCGAGAAGCCCCATCCTTCAGAAAATATATGTTTTTCGAACCCTGGCGCTTTTTCTCGATTTCGGCCTTTGGGGCCCCTTATCGGGCTCAGGGACCAATTCCTTGTCCCAGGTGAGCACTATTGGGGGTACCAGGTCTGGGAAGAGCAAGCGAAACAGCGAATTCGTTGCGGGAAGAGGGAGAATCCCCCTCCTTCTCCTTCTTATCCTCCTCCTTCTCTTCCCGCTGGCGGGTTTCAAAGCGCGACGGTGGGACCCTTGACCTTTTTCTCCTGTCCTCCTGGCCGTGCTCTGTGCGTTTCGTCCCCCCTCCTTTGGCCGAGTCACCCCTTTCCCTCCTCCTCGGAGCAGAACTCCTCGTGCATATCCACCCGCCGAACATTGAAACCCACGTCTCCTTACCCTCTCGTCTGCCAAGAATTGCAACCCAGTCATCCTTACCCACGCGCCCACTCCTGCGACCCGACTATCCTCTCCCAACTGTCTCAAGCTTCGTGCCAACTGACCCCAAGATGTCTCTTCCGCCAGCAATGGGCCAATGATTATTTCTCCGGGGGCGAATGGAGGGTCTCCGACACTGAACAATGCTCGCACAGTATTATTCCGCCGTCGTCGTCGTTTCTGTCGCCGCCGTCGCCGTCCTACTAAGGACAGAGTGACGGGGTGGACGAGCAAAGCTTATTGCCAGCCAAGAGTTGTTGGTTTGGGGGCTCCAGCAGCATAGAAGACCTCCTGCGGTTATATACTTATTTATATATATATATATATATATATATACATATACATATACATATGAAATTCGACCTAACACTGCAGCCAGCATGCGTTCACCCACCCGCTTAAAATTGCACCCCGAATCTTTCCACCGAACCGCCTAAGCTAGTGACCCAGGTATCCTCGCCCACCAGCCTAAAAAACAAGCCAACAAGACCCACGTATCCTCACCCACCTGTCTAAAACTTGCAACGGTCGCCGAGACATCGTCGCACACCCACTGAAAGTTGTCCCGTCACCGTGCCAGCCCAGCATCATTTCGGTCGGCGATTGTTCGAGGGGACACTTGAGGCCGTCGCGCGTGACACCTCGTGTCCCCACGCCTGGGAGAGCCGTGACGATGACGATGGCGATTGCGATGATGATGATGATGATGATGATGATCATCATGATGATGATCACCATGATCATGATCATGATCATGATCATGCTGATGATCATGCTGATGGTGATGATGGTGGTGATGGCGATGGTCATGGTGATGGTGATGGTGAGTGTGACAATTATGATGTTGATGGTGGTGGTGCTGGGAATGATGGCGATCATAACGATGACGATGACCACCATGACGACGATGAAACTGATGATGACGACGACGACGATGCCGACGCCGGTGTCGGAGATGATGATGCTAGTGAAGTTGATGTTGATGATGACGACGACGGCGACGACGAAGATGCCGTTGCCGTTGCCTGTGCCGCCGATGATGATGCTGAACATGATGATGGTTATGATGGTGATGGTGATGGCCATGGTGATGGCCATGGTGATGGCCAGGGTGATGGCCATGGTGATGGCCATGGTGACGATTGTGATGATAGAGATGATGGTGCTGATGATGGTGATGATGGTTATGATGGTGATAGTGGTGATGATGGTGAAAACCTTGACCGTGGTGACGATGGTGGCGATGGCGACGACGACGACCATGGCCATGGCGATGACGATGACGATGACGTTGACTGTATGATGTTGCGGTGATGATGCTGATCTTGGTGGCGATGCGTGATGAATGTGATGGTCATTGTGTTGGTGTTGGTGAAGATGATGATGCTGCTGATGATAATGGTGGTGATGATGATGAGGGGGAGGAGCAGGAGGAGCATGAGGAGGATGGGAAGCTGCAGCAGGAGGAAAAGGAAGGTCGTCTCTTGTGACACCTGCCGTCTTCACTATTTTATGAACTCGCATGGAACTCGTTTGGGACGTCTTGGTGCTGCCTCGGCCTCCTGTGAGGCAGCCTTGTGGCTCTCGTTGGTCGTCTTAGGGCTCTCTTACGTCGTCTTGGGGCTTCTTGGGCCGCGTTTGGGGCACTGTTGGCCGTCTGGTGGGTGTCTTGAGGCCGTTGTGGGGCCGTTTGGGCGCCGTCTTGGGTCCCACGGGACGCCCACTTTAGCCGTTTTGAGGTTGTTTTGCCGTCGTGGAGTCCTCTCGGGCTATCTTTGGAGCCTCTTGGGCTGTCTTGGGGCGGGCCATCGTGAAGGCTGTTTGGGCCGTCTTGAGCTGATGGCAGCCTGGAAAGGCGAGACTGCGACCGTCATTCAAACACCCAAGGGACATGAACGACACTGGTTTCTTCGGGCCCTGTTTGGGGTCCTCTTGTGGCATTGTTGGGCCCTCTTGGAGACACCTTGGGCTGTCTTGAGCGCATGAGGATGCGGGAGTTGCACGATCCTCGAGCGGTTGCGCGTAGGATAAGAGGTCTAGGAATTAGCAGCCATGCGAAAGTACATAATCCCCCAGCGGCCGCGCATGTAGTGAGAGTTCAGGCGTTAGTTGCTGTGAGGGAAGTGTACCATCCTCGAGCGGGCACGGGTGGGATGGGGGTTTAGGCACTAGCTGCCATGCTGGAAGTGCACCATCTTCGGGCGGGCACGAGACAGGTGTCTTTGGGAAGGGGAGGGGGATGCATGCGGCTGTCTGCGAGTAGAGGGAGGGGCGCCCTTTTATTCGAATTCCATAAGCACTACCAGGCAGCCCTTGGCATACCTCCACGCCTCAACGTGCCAGGGGGCACGGTGGCGGGTCGACACACACACACACACACAGACACAAACACATATATACACACACACGCACGCACGCACACACACACACACACACACACACACACCCGTCGGACGACGCGTTCTCAGTAGTTTTGATGCTTCAGTATTTGCATCGCATCCACTTTGTTGGTGAATGACCCTCTCCGCAGCACAGGCCGCCCTCTACAATTCCAGTCCTCGCACGCCCCCCCATCCCTATGAAAAGTACCTCCAGATCGCACTTTCGAGTATGATCTGATCTGGAGGCTTCGAAGCTCGCATTTTGGGGTACGTCGTAATGCGAACGCGTCGACATCTCGCGAGGATTTGGCTGAGCCAGGCACCCAGCGCTCAATAGCAGCACTGGCTCGCTGGTCGGGGCGGCAAGCGAGATTCCCCACATCAGCATTAACCCCGCCCTCCATCCTCCAGCCCGCTTCCCTATCCACCGTCCTCTCCCGTGGCTCTTCCTCCTCCCCGCTCACTCGCCACAGAAGCTGCAGGAGAGAAGGGTGCCTCGGATCGTGGGCGAAAAACATATCTGTATCCGCGGCCTCGCGGGCCTGGCCACCAGGGCCGCGACCCCGCGGATACAGGCGTTTTATTCGCAGACGCTCCGCGCGGAACGCATTTGAGCGACCGCGTATCCGCGGGATCGCGCCCCAGAATCCAGACTGTGAGGGCGCGTATGCGGACATGTCCGCCGCTCGTGATCGGTGCCCTTCCTGGGCCCGGCAGCGTCTTCACCCGACAGGCATGCCCTCGCCGAGGGCCAGCGGATTGGGTCCCGGTCGACGCCGTGCAGCACGGCTTGATCTACCAGTGGGGAGGGGCAGCGTTTTGTTGCTTTCTAGCGCTGGAGAGATTCGTCGGCAAGGGAGGGGGGGAAGTGAGAAGGAGCAGGCCTTCTCAGAAGGCGGCGGGGGTTCTCAGAAACCCTCCGGCCTTCTAAGAAGCTGCTTGTGTCTTCGGGGAAGGCTTCGACAATTTCCCAGAAGGTTTGGGGACTTCCGAGCCTGCTGAGGAGGTCCGCCCCCACCCTCCCCGGGCTCGCTGCCGAAAGATAGCGTGCGATGGGGTGTGGCGCCGCTGGCCCGCTCATCATACGCTGTCCCCCACCCTGGGGGGCAGCGTGCACCGAGGAAGCCCTGGCAGGGCGACAGCGTGCACAGACGGGGCCCTCGCAGGGGATCGCCTCGAAGGGATCGTCTAGGCCTCCCGGATGGGGTCGGAGAAGATGGGGTCGGAGGATCGCCCCGCATCGCCGACGCATCGGCGGTGCGTCTCGATGCGGAGCCCGACTTTCTCCACGTCGGCGTCGCCGATGCACCGCCGACGTCGGCGATGCATTTGCGCTACATCGCTGATGCATTGGCAATTCGGCGCGATCCTCCGAACCCATCTACTCCGACCCCATCTAGGAGGCCTCTAGATAGCGCGCTTTTCGGAGATCGATGTTGCACGCTATCTTGCCAACGCCAACCGTAGGAGTCTTCGTAGCCCCCGAGAAACGCCCGATGCCTTCGAAGAGGCCCCGGTGCCCTCTCAACAGGGCGGGCTCTTCGCCCTGCCCTCGTTGGGGTGCCGCCGAGGTGAGCGCTGACAGTCGGGCGATCGCACCGGCACCAAGCTTGGCCAGGCTCACCCTGGGCCCATTGGGGGCAACGGTGGGGAAGGATAGGCCCAGGGGGTCTGGGGATTCATCGACCCCCAATCGCCCATTCATCGCCGATGGATGCCCGATAGCCCCACCCCGCCCGGAAACATGTGGATTCGCTATCGGGGGCCTGTCGCCAATCTATCGGCGATGTATCGCCGATTCCAGATCGATGTTCCCACCCCCCTGCGCCAGTCCCCCTATCGTTGCTACTCGGCCCAGGATCAGTAGATGTCTGTATGCCAGTCTGGCCTAGCTTGGAGGACGAGGCAGGACGAGAACCAGCTGAGCTTCGAGGGCCCCAAGCCGAGTTTCGAGAGGCGCGAGGACCACCTTACCCACGGGGGCCCAATAAGCGGCAATGTTGGCTGGTATCATCATGATGGGTGGTGCGATGATTGATCTAGCGCAGAGCGGGTCTCATTCAGCTTTGACGCACCACCCTATAATGCTGCATGAGTCCGCACAACGACGTGTCCGTCGCGTGACAGCGAACCCATGGCGGGCCGCCTCGATGCCACGCTCTCGGCCCACAGCGAGGGCCTGCGCCAGCCATACTCCGCAGCCAGGGGGGGGCAAGAGGACGGAAACCGAGAGGAGGCAGACCGTCAGGCTGACGATGGGGGGCCGCCGGGGCGGCGGGGCGGCCTGGCCGCGCCGGGGCGGCGCTCGTCGTGATGGCGCACAGCACCGCCGCGCTCCCGCCGGTGGACAGTGGGGGTCGGCGCGTCTGGGTGTTTCGACCTCCTTGACTGGGGCCTTTCTCAAACGCCAGGTGCAGTTCAGTGGCGCCTTGTGAGCAGGACTTCTGTCAAACGCCAGATGTGGAAGCACCAAGACGCAGCTCACTCCTCGAACAGGACTCTTTGAATAGGACTCGTTGAGGCGTCGGTGCTTCGACCCTTTTATGACCTGCAGCGGGGGGAGAGCCTCTGGCACCTCCCCCGCCGCCGGCGCGGAGGGGAGGTGCGTCCCGGTCGGCACCTTCTGGTCCGCAGGTCGCCCCTGCCGCCCGCCCGCTTGCCGCCGCTCGTGCGTCGGGATGGAAGGAACAAGCACAGCACACAAACCGGCGCCGATGTCCGATGGACAGCTTCGAAGATTTCGAAAGGGAGGGGCAGAGGACCATCCAGGAAATATCGGACAAACATAGGATCCTGCAAACCTGTATCGACTTCTCTGTGCCCCCCTTGGGCTCCTGTTGGTGCCTCGCCCCTCGCCTGGCGCACGGGGGCGCACCCGCCGACGGGCAGGGCTGGGGGCGCAGCGGACGCCCGGCCCGCGATGGGGGAGGGAGGCGGGGGAGGGGGCAGGGCGGACGGGCAGGACGCGTGGAGGGCGGACGGGGGGCGGATGGGATGGGGGAGGGGGAGGGAGATGGGAGAAGGGAGGATGGAGGAGGGAGGGAGGGGGGGAGGGAGGGCGGGAGGAAACGGAGGAGGGGGCGGACGGAGACGAGGGGGGAGTCCAGGCTGGCCAGGTGGGGCCGGGGAAGGGGTCGGCGGATCGCTCCGCGTCACTGACGCGCCAGCGATGCGGTGCGATCAGGGGCCCGATTTGGCCCCGCCCGGGCGGCCTCCAAGGACGGAGGACGGAGGCGGTGCGGTTCCATGGGGTCCTTCAGGTTGCAGGGGTGCTTGCACTCAGCTGACTCATCTCGATGAACAACAGACGACATAAACATAATTTCTTTGAGATCTGCGCGGACTTCTTGGTTCGGCGTTGGGCCCCCACCCATGGCGGCGCCTCCAGCGCCGCCCCTGGCGCGCCCCGCGCGCCAGGGAGGGGGGGTCCAACGCCGATCCGAGAAATCCGCGCTGAGCTCCGAAAATTTATGTTTACGCAGCTGTTACTTCCTCTAGTGGCTTGTTGGCCAGAGTTGGGTGGCAGGGAAGGAAGGGGGGGGCACTGCCCTGGACAGGACGAAGGAGGACGTGGAGGAGTAGGAAGAGGAAGGCAGGTTGGGGGGAGGAGGAGATCCCAATTCCACGGGCGGGCTGGGCTAGGCCAGGGGACGGGGTTGGGACCCGAGGGGCCCTTGCCCGCACGTGCACTCGTTTCAAGTAAGGGCAGCTTGAAATTATGCGAATGCGGGGAGTTGGAGAGAAGGAAGGAGGAAGGGGAGGAGGAGGAGGAGGAGGAGGAGGAGGAGGAGGAGGAATAGGAATAGGAATAGGAGGAGGGGTTAACAGCTCCAGTACGGATTCAATGACACCAGCTACCAGCTACCAGGAGGAACAAGAGGAGGAGGGAGGAGGAGATAGAAGGAGGACGGAGGGGCGGTCGACCTGCTGTGTCCATCACGAGTGGCCGTTGGCGGGGTGGACGTCGCAGTCATGTATTTCGGAGAACGGACCCATCAGGTATCCCACGAATTGAGCAACATGTCGAAATTTGTTGCGGGGCATTGCGGCCCATTTCTCGTGGGACATGAGATGTGACGCGTAATTGCCTAGTCGCGCCATCCTTTCGGAGTTTGATTGCATATTCTGGGCCCTTCAATGTTCCTGTGGACTGGACTTGTTTTGATTGTATGGGTTCCCATGACTTCGTGGCCCGTCGTCATTTGCAGGATTCGACGTGTGGCCCGTCTCTCGTGTGTTCCACGCATACTTTCGGTTCCTGCAGTTCTCGTGGTCTGTCGTAAACCCTCGTGAGCTTCCAGTGATCATACATAATTTTACTGAGTTGTTTTTGACAAGTCGTGGTCTCACGTTATGGCCATTGCTGCCCTCCGTGATCCTCGGGGTCTGACTCGTGACCCTTCGCGGATTTCACGAGCCAGTTTCCCCTCTTGAGTTTTCGCTGCATCTCGTGATCCCGAATGTCCCATTTGGAGTTCGAAATTCGAGTTGCCCTGTAGGGCGTATCACATAGCCTTCGGCCCATCCCGTCACCGTGCCTGGGTTTGGTCGCAGTCCTCTCGGATGCCTCTTGCGGGCTCTTGGGATGCCTCCTCGGGCCTCCTGTCGGTCTCGGGGGCCATCTTGACGCAAGAGTGCTCGTGGGGCCAGTTCGGGCTCCCCATTTCCGGGACCGAAGCATTGAACACACAACGGTCTTCAGTTGTTTTTGGATTCGGCCTCGAGAGTCACAAGCCAAGCCCCAAGAAATCCGTGAGTGATAGGTCCAGGCACCTAAGAGACTATGTATGTAGAGTGCGTAATCAGAGTGAGGGGGCCGAACGGTCATTCATTATCCCTGGGGGCGTGGCTGAAGTGGGGTTCCGCAGCGCGGCCGCCATCCGTCACGGTCGTCCAGGGCATGGCAGGCGTGGCATATTGTCGACACCGTAGGGAGTGCGTAGGGGGTGGCCTCTCACCGCGGCCGCTATCCGCCACCGTCGTCCAGGGCATAGCAGGCGTGGCATATTCTTGGCACCATAGGGGGTGCGCAGGGGGTGGTCCATCAGCGCGGCCGCTATCCGTCACGGTCGTCCAGGGCACAGCAGGCGTGGCGTATTCTCGACACCATAGGAAGTGCGTGGGGGGTGGTCCCTCACCGCGGCCGCTATGCTCGACGGTCGTCCAGGGCATAGCAGGCGTGGCACTTTCTCGACACCACAGTGGGTGCATTGTGTGGTCCCTCAGCGCGGCCGCTATCCGTCACAGTCGTCCAGGGCATAGCAGGCGTGGCACTTTCTCGACACCACAGAGGGTTTGCAGTGGGTGGTCTCTCACCGCAGCCGCTATGCGCGCCGGTCGCCCAGGGCACAGCAGGCGTGGCACTTTCCCTCGATACCACAAAGGGTGCGCAGGGGGGTCGGTCTCCCAGGGACTATGGACCCCCTCAGGGTACTCAGGCTGCCAAGGCTTGCCAGGCGCCCCGAAACGGGATCGGCGAAGCAACGCCCACCCGAGACCCACCCGCACCCCGCGACCCAACCGCGACCCACCCATGACCCATTTGTGACCTACCTCGCGACCCCCCCGCGACCCCCCCGCGACCCACCCGCGACCCACCAGCGACCCACCCGCGACCCACCCGCGACCCACCCGCAACCCGCAACCCATCCGCGAACCTCCCGTGACTCACCCGCAACTTACCCGCGACCCACCCCGCGACCCACCCGCGACCGCGACCCGCTCGCGACCCACCCCGTGCTTGCCCCTCATTCTCATCCGCAGTTGCAGGGTGCTACAGTACAGAAGATTCGAACGGACCGCACAGTGCATCAGGCACGGTGGCTGAATTCGAGCAGGGACGAGCTTCCCCGGACCAATCAGTTGGCGTGTTGCTTGCTTGCTCCAGTTTCTGCAAACAGGGTGGCCGTTTCATCAGATCTGAGGCCACAGTCTCTGAAATTCTCGTCCGTCGATTGCGAGTCGTTGCGCCAATTTGTTCGGCGCCATCGGCTCTCGCGGATGCAGATCGGACATGTTACGTCTTACCGGGGTGTCGCCGCCGTCTCTCGTTGGGCATTCAGAGAACGTCTGTCGTGTTTCTTCACCCCGCAAGTGGGGGTCGTTTGATTTTAAGGACAGACTTCCCGACCCGTCCACCTTGCCTACCGCGGCCGCCAGGTCCCCCGAGTGTCCCCGAGAGTCCCGCCTCGCGCCCTTCTGCATACCGCGGCCGCCGGATCCCCAGGTCCCCCGAATGTCCTCGAGAGCCCCGCCTCGCGGCCGCCAAATCCCCATGTCCCCCGAGAGTCCCCGAGAATCCCGCCTTGCGCCACTCTGCACACCGCGGCCGCCAGGTCCCCAGGTCCCCCGAATGTGTCCGAGTTTCGCGCCTCGGGCCGACAAGGCATACCAGGACCGAGCGGCACTATATTTTAGCAGTATTAATACAGCGAAAAAGCTATACGGTTTGACAGCACAGAGCATAACACCACACCACCTTACATCACATGTCCGAGCATAACATACCATAGCATGACAGAACCCACCGTAATATCACACACACGCACACCATGGCAGGACAGTGCATACGATATCACAGCATCACAGCACATACCATTACATAACACGACAAAGCAAGTCTACCATAAGAAAGCACAGCAATCCTGAACATGTCAAAAACGAGTGTGTCGCAACCTCGCACAGTATGGCATATCATTCCACATCTATATCATGTCAGAGCGCGGTAAACGATGATACACCGTAGCGTACCATGGCACAGCATACCAGATTGCGTTACGTCTTACTGTACCATACAGAACGGAGCATTACAACACACCCCCATAACATATCATAGCAGAGCATAACTTAGCATACCATGACAGACCATATCATAAAATACCATACCATGGCATAACATGTCACGCCGTAGCACCATATCAACACACATCGCATTTCATACGATGACACAAATACAATGGCAGTACGCGACATAAACCATTATAGTAGCGCGTATCAGAACATATCATAACACCATACGATGACAACGCATACCATGTCACCGTGCGTCAGACTAGGGCATACTACGACACACCATAACAACGCACGCGATGACATATTGGAGCAGGCATCGTAGAACAAAAGCACAACACATCATAACAGCGACCGACAGAGCACACCAGACCATAGCGTACCATAACAACACATCACATGTTACACGATGCCACCTCACATTAGAGCATAACGCATACTCACAGCAATTCATACCATAACAACGCATACCATGAAGGATTTTGGCATACCATATTCTACCATAGCAGGACATACGAGATAACCACCTACCATGCCTTGACATAACAGAGCATAATTGACCGCATTATCGGGCATCGCACACATATCATGCCACAGCTGAGCATCGTGGGGTATACCATCACGGGTCAGAACAGGGCGTACCCGAATTGGTTGTTTTACCACGACGGCGATGAATGTATCCAAACATCGTGGCCTTTTCCTGGTTGCAAAGGGTAATAGGGCATCACACAAAGTATATTAGAGGACAGGACACAAAGTA